TTCGTGTTTTTGATTTTTTTGAAATATAGCCGAACTTCAAAAAATAAAATAAAAAATACAGGGTTGTAGATCTCAAAAAGATCTACAACCCTATATTTTTTTATTTTTTCTTTGCGTATTTTTTACTGGAGAAAAAAATATTTCCGCGCCTGCTCAAACCCCGCTTGAGGGCGCTTTGAGCGCGGGATTGAGCGGCGGTCAAAAACTTGAGCGCCGACCGCGCGCTCAGTCAGCGCGTGGTTTCACAGGGTGGGGTACATGGGGCTGGTGGGCTGGGTGGGCTGGGTGGGGTTTTGGGTGGTTTGGGGTGGGGTGGGGTGGGGTGGGGGTGGGGGGGGGGGGGGGTTGGGTGGGGCTGAACTTAAGGCGGGCACGAGGCTTGATGGGAGTAGCAGCCCAGAGTGAAAATAAAAACAGAACTTTGTACCAAAAAAAGAAAAAAAATTAAAAAATTCAAATTTTGGTTTCGATGTTTCTGTTTTTGCAATTAAAATTGAACGGAACAATGCACACATATTATAAAATGCCGACATGCGGCTGCACACAGTCTGTGGCCAATAATAAACGCAACATCTGAAAACATAGTTATGTCGTGAAAAACGCCATGAAAAATAACAAACGCTACCATCGAAGTACGCGTACCGTACGAAACATGAAAGGTCAAAACATATGTGCACAAAGACAGGTTTCACAATAAACCATAAGCATGAGAAAAAAAAAAAAAAAAAAAAAAACACTGCCTGATAACGAAAAAATGATGCTAATGCGAGAGATTATGCGACACAAAGTAATGGAACGTCTTCTCTGCAATGGCGTCTGTATGATCATCGTCGACCACCATGATGCCATCCCATCTGATCTCCCTCCTTGACGCCGACATGAGGGTGTCCGTGCGATGTCTGCCTTTCGTCATCTCCAACCCCTCGCGTCCTGTGGTCTTACCCTCTCGGCGTGATGCTCGTTGATGTATCGCCCTCTGTGTCCTGGGAGGCCCCCCCACATCCGCCCAAAGGATCTGTGACACCTCCCTCAATCCATGAGTCGACTCTCGTGAACCAGGCGCTGGACATCCACCTCCGCCCGCACCCTCAACGGGAGCATCTAACCCGCCCCGATGCTCGAACCCAACAACATGCACCTCCCTCGTCGACGACGTGGAAGAGCGTCACCTCCCCAGCCCGGGCTGCTTCTTTCTGCTCGCCGCTGTTGACTTCCTCATCTGGCTCCACGGCACGTCGGTGCGCCCGAGTAAAGATGCACCCACGGCGCTCGTTGTCGCCTCTCCACTCTCTCGTGGCCTGACCACCACTGAGGCAGGCGCAGACGACCGTGTCCCACGATCTTGTGCCACACTGGGAGGGGACTGCGCCGCACAGTCCCGCACCAACTCCCATGGCACCCAGCGCCACCAAAGCGTCCGAGGGCGGTGTGGGGCTGGCAGGGCCCCATGAAATGGACTGAACGCGTGGAAGAACTCCTTAGGCTTTCTATGAGTCGATCCTCGCTTCACATCTCGCCTCTGTGAGATCCGTCGCAAGGTACACGCCCAACTCATCAGCAGTCATCGTGCCGAACATCAGACTGCCTCGGGGCTGCTCTACGTAAGGAGTGTCTCACCTCTCAGTGCCAGGTGGATGACGACAACTCAGCTGAGGGGAGAAGCGGTGGTCGATGTTTGATTGCAATGTCGACCCATGCAATGAACGATGTGCGGCCCTCGGTCTGTCCCCCTGAATGGCCGCTGAGACCTCAAACTCTCGAGAACAAGTGATCGACTCCATCCCTCCACCGGTCGGTGCGATGGATGCCATAACACGCACTCCCTCCTCCACGCCTGAACCAGGTATAGTCGTACACACGCATGGGTCCTCGTGAGGCTCCTGACATGCGTCCTCCTCTACCTCCGCGTGAATCAGGAATGCCTCTCCCCCCATGGCGCAAGACTCGCGTGAGTCGCGTCTGCCACTTCATCCTCTGCGTCTCCTGGCCGTACCTCCGTGTCTCTACAATGCACCACCTCTGCAGGGATAGCCCAAGCAGCATCAGGCTCTGCCACCGTAAAGTCATTAAATTTCTCACCACTCGCCTCTCCCTCCTGTGCCCCTGCAACGCAGGCCGAGTCTCCATGACGTGCCTCCGCCGCGATGAATGCGCTGACAATATCGGACCCGTGTGTCTCACACTCTCTCTCTATAACTGCATGCGACGTATCGCCACCTGCCTCCTCAGTTAACCCGTGAGACTCCAATGTCTGCATGTGCGCAATGGCACTTGCGCCCGCCAGCATGGCATCCTCTGCGTCCATGTCATGCGTGTCCTCCCGAAAGCCATGCACTCCTGCTCCCGCAGTCACCGACATCACTCTCCCAACCATCGCCAGCTCACGTCTAGCCTCCATGTCACGAGCCATTGCCTGTGTGCGCGGGTCGACGTCGGCTAGGGCCTTTTCCCTTGCGGCCTCCTCCTCGTCCTCCGTAGGGGTAAAATGGGGTTGGAGGGGGGGGAGCGGGGGGAGCGGGGGTTAGAGCAGCGCTCTAACGACGCCCGACCCCGCATTACCCGTTTTTCCCCGGTTCCTTGTTTGTTTGTGTGTGTGTGTGTGTGTGTGTGTGTGTGAGTGTGTGTGTGACTCTGTGTGTGTGTGTGTGTGTGTGTGTGTGTGTGTGTGTGTGTGTGTGTGTGTGTGTGTGTGTGTGTGTGTACACATGCCGCACACACACCAAAACATCAACCAACCAACCAGTCAATCAATCAACCAATCTATCTTTTTCTTTCTTTTTCTTTTTTCACAAAAAACAAAGTTCAATTCCCCCCCCAAAAAAATATTGGGGGGTTCCCTGCAACACCAGCTGTCCTCCCTGAGGCTTGGCACTGCCAGCAGCAACATAAGTGCTCGTCCGTACTTCCGTACACCCGTTCAGCCATCCATATGGATGGCCCATCTGGAGACCCCACGTACGATGTACGGGGGGAGTCTGTATACTACTACAGGGCCTAATCATTTATTTACCTCAATTTCCTCAAATTTCAGGTATTTTGAAATTGCATATAAAGACGGATACTCACATAATTTGCCATCCCATCTTTTGCACTTGGGGTAACTACGCGGGAGTCACAAAAACGAGTGTTTTTTTTTTTTTTTTTTTTTTTTTTTCTTCTCTCAACTTCTGTTTTTTGCCTTTCACTACCTACTCCTGTCTCTTTTACACATCTAGATGTGTATAAGAGACAGGTGTGTGTGTGTGTGTGTGTTTAACACAAGCTGAAGTTATTAGATATGTTGATAAGAGCATCCACACCTAATAACTCAACTGGTGACGCTCTTCCATATGTGGGGGGTAGCACCTGCTGGATAACGGGTCCAGCGTCCCATTTACAACCTGAAAATGGAATACATCAGAGAATCACTTATGAGATGTTCCTGCCAGCATTGATTACCCTGGAACTCCAGGGGATTGACTGAGCAGGGACGGACCTGGTGCCAAATATTTACTGCAACTCACTAGTCCGGATCAAGCTGACTCTTTTTTTTTTTTTTTGAGAAGAATCCTGCCAGCATTGATTGCTCTGTCTTCCATAGGATTAAGGGCCTCGTTAGACCCTCCTTGGAAAATCCTCAGGAATTAGGATGAACTCCTTGGAAACTTTTGCGGTTTTTGGCGGCGTCGTTACACCGCGCCCTAATCGAATGGGTTCGAAGGAGAACCCTTGGAGGCCTCCGGCGGCCAAGTTCATATGCATATACGCGGCCGTGGGGGTGGATGTCCGTCATCGTGGTGGGATGTCCGTCCCTCCTCAGGTGTGGTCCAGTGGCGGCGGCAGGGAGGCCTTCCGGGCTGCGAAGAGAAAAATTGGCGCGAAAATCCCTTTTGAAATTTCAAATTTCAAACCCTTGGCCGATACGCATTGACACACTGTGGCGTGTAGACCGCTGGAGCTGACACCGGAGCGAAACGTCTGCGTGGAGGATTTGCGGCGGCCATCGCTGAATGCGCGGGTATTGGAACGTGTGCCGATGCGGAGTGGACGGTGAAGATCTCGGAGTGCGTCCGCTATAACGGGTTCCACGTTCCTGTTGGGGTTGTCGACGACAATCCGGCAGGCCGCCATAGCAGAGCTCGCACGGTGCCCCTCCGTCGAAGTTGTGTGAGACTGCTGCCTTCCCCGTCCGCGTGGAGTCTCAGAGTGGAACTGTGGAACGACGGCGCCGCCGGCTGACGCAGGGGGTGGTGAAAGCGTATTGCGCGACGTCATCATGGTCGGAGAGTTGCAGCGCGGTGGCAACGCCTTGATAACTTTGGAGAGAAATGCGGTGGTTGCAACCGTTTCGGCGGTTGCCATGCAATATCGCATCGAGAGAAAGACAGCGCACCTCAAGATGAGACTGTCGATTCGCACGCAGCGTCATCTCCTGCAACAAGTGATGGAGGCGCCCGACTGTGTGTCTATGTCCGAATCTATTGTCCAGTTTCGCTGCGCCATCGCATCCGGTGTAATCCCGCGGGCGACCTCGAGGTGGTGGATGAGGAGAGGGACGGGAGGCACATGGGAGGATCTCCAGAAGATGGACGACGCTGCAAACGACTACTACAAGGAGAAGTTGAGGATGTCCCCGAGGGTGTTCCGGGAGATCGTGGAGGCGTTGTCCCCTCTTCTGCACCGGAGGGTGACATTCTATAGGGTATCGTTGATGCCGGATCACATCTCCGTTGTTGCGCAGGTGGTGGTGGACTTGCGCATCATAGACATTTTCGTCGGTTATCCGGGGAGCCGCCATGACATTCGCGTGCTTCAACTTTCCAGTCTGTCAGCGTGTGCGGAGGAGGGGGATCTTTTCCGTGGACCAGCCGTGGTGCTGCCGTTCGGAGTGAAGACACACGGGTACATTCTCGGCGATAACGGCTATCCTCCTCTGGAGTGGATCGTCGTGCCTTACTGCGGGACCGATCAATGCACCGACGAAGAGAGGTTCGACAACAAGCAGAAGGTCGCCAAAGGAGCAGTGGAGAGAGCTTTCGGGAGATTGAAGGGGATGTGGAGGCTGTTCCTCCACACACACAAGACCAATATGGACACTCTCCCGCAACAGTTCCAAGCTATGTGCATTCTGCACGACACACTTGTTGTGGGAGGTGGACGCTAATGGCGTGCGCCGACACGCAGATTTGGGGATCGATCACCCACCCCGTCCCATCGCGAAAAACTTTAATCGGCCCCGTGCGCTGGCGTTGCGTGAAGCGTTGGCGGAGCGCATGAAGCACTAGTGAACGCGCAAACTCCCTCGACGGCGGTAGCTACCGCACTGATGGGGGGAGGGGGGACTGGTGATATTCGGGAGGCGGCGACTCTTGTTGTGTTCCGGTGGGAGTGTGGTGTGCTGGGAACAATTCTACAGGGTCACAACAGTTGCTTTGATTTGTTTACTTTACGGTGTTGTTCGTTGAGACGTTTTTTTATTTTCCTTTTACTATAGTTTACTTGGCGTGACTTTTAATCATTTCGCGAACCTTTGAAGAGCGACGGAGCTCCGCTCCATGACGATGTTTTTGCAGACGACGGTGTCGTCTTTGTTATGCTCATTTTTGCATATCTGTGTGGTTGAATGCGCTTTCGTGTCATCTATGAGTTCTTTTGTTGCGTTAAACGATCGATGCGGTTTTTTTGTGTTATTTAGTTCATGCATCAACAAAAGAAGCACCTTCTAATTTGTCCATGCGCATTTCTTGTGCCGTTCAATTCAACCATGGACAAACCAAACAATGAACGAATCGATCAATCGATGAAGCGATTAGCCGACCAAGTGATAAAGCATTACATGGATAAGTCGATCGGCCGACTGACCGACCAAACGATAAAACAATCAACTAATCAACCAATCAACCAATCAATCAATCAATCAATCAATCAATCAATCAATCAATCAATCATTGACAATCGATCAACCAATCAATCAATCAATCAATCAATCAATCAATCAATCAATCAATCAATCAATCATTCAACCAATCATTCTTTGCTAAAACACAATTTTCAGCGATACGGAACGAAAATCATGCAAAATTCACCATTCGACACATGCCCTGGCTCCATGAAAGAAATTGAAAATAGGCATCCCCTCTTGTTGTGTCATCCCTGAAAAGGTGCCATTAATCACATGGCCTTCACTTAGCACTGCATGCACTACACAAATCCGCAAGAAAACGAAAACGAAAACAACCACATTTGCAATCGGTTGCCACAAATATGCGCGTCGACGGGCGACGTGGCAGACTACACGACTAGGGCGAAACAAAACGACGACATCATTTTGAAAGCGCCCCTCGAACGCCGACAACATGTTCACATCCCCCACCCCCCCATCCCGCCCGGGCACTAGGCACCCTTACCTTCGCCTATCAGCTTGACCCCCATGCCAATCCTGCGTCGACACCCCTTCCCCCCTGCCCCCGCACCCGCCATACACAAACCATAACGACAGGTGTGCCGCCGAAGACCACGGACCATTCCACTCCACGGTCGAAGCATGCTGCCACGATGCGCAGGACGGCCATATCCAGCATATTCACTTCCAGCAGACATGCACCGATCTTTATAGTGTTTGTGGTGACCTCTCCCTGCCACGACGCGCTCTCAGAATGACAGCGCCGATTTCACCCATCCAAATGCGGAACGAAATTCCAACTACTCCCAGCAATGACACCTGGTTCTCCCGTCAACCTGCACGAACTGTCAAATGGCTCACATTGTGCCTTAAACAGCGCCCTTCACGACTGCACCTGCGGAGTCACCACCATCAACACGTCACCCATGGAGAACGAGCGAGGGGTGTAGCGTTAGGACATGCATTCACATGACGACCGACTGAGGAAGAATGTACACAGATGCAGGACTTCAGACGGCGTCACGACCTCTCCCTTATTGCTTTAGCGATCTCCAACAACACAGTGCACATCATCCTGTTCGCCTCGTCAGACGCCTCGTAGTGCCGCTTCTGGGCGTCGATCTCGCGCTCGAGTATGTCGCACTGGCGCTCCAGGATGCTACATTGTCGCTTGCTTGCCCCCTCTACAGTGTCCGCCATCAATGCAGCATGCTTCTCCATCACTTCGGCGATGGCGTCAAAAGTTTGTTGACGCATGTTCTTTCTCTTGCCAGCGCCGCCTGTGCTGCCTGCACTGAACCCGGACTTCCGCGCCGACCCCCCATCTTCGTCGTTGCCATCACCCACATCTCCCCCGACACTGGATTCACCTGCAATGGATGGCTGGCGTTGAGAGTCCCCCGGCATCTGCACTGCTCCCCGGGCGCTCGTGTCGGGGAGGTTATCCAGGTAGATGGTCTTATTGCCTTGAGACATGTTGTCGATCTCAAGGTACACTCGCTCATCCATTCGGAAGCTGAATCCCTCTTCTGTTCTCAACGCAGGCGTCAAGATGAAGAAGTTCTTCCCCCCGGACGCGTTTTGGTATCGTTGCACATTCTTATACTGCTGGAAGAGGTTATCCCACTTCTTGCCAATGTCATCGGTCGTCCTCTTCATGCCCACCTCCACCAGACGCTTCTGCAGGTCCTGCAACTTCCATTCCCTGTTGCGCATACGACCATAGTTGTGCGGCATTCCTTCGAAAAGCTTGCTGGTCCCGCTTCGCTCGAGCGAGCTTGATCATCTCTTCAACACTCCAAGCTGGATGTTTGCCGCCCTTCTCGCCCATAGGACCCTTTGATCCTCGACCGCCACGTGACACAGCCTTTTGTTGACGTCTGCATCCCCCCCTCCGTCCACCACTTACACCAACGGGTCGAATATCCAAGTCTTCCGCATCTTCCGGTTCCTCCTCGCAATGGGAATCTGGAGATTCTTCACCACTCGCCCTCCGAGTGTCGTCCGCATCGGCATCGTTCCCCACACGCATCCACGACACCCCATTCGTTATGTTATCAGCGGTCGCTGGGCGCATCTGTTGGCGATTGGACGCCCACGCCTGCCTCCCCATTTCTTCCGGTGGAGAAGTGCTGGTGTTCGCCGCCGGTGCGGCCGCCCTCTGCCGCAGTGCAGGCGAAGGCGTCGCGGAGCGGGTGGGTAACACTGCCCTCGGCGCATCGCCAGCTGGTCCCACGCCTCCACAAATGGAGGGCGCTTGACGACACCCATCTCCTGTGCCACCCACACGGGAGGATCTTCCACCCACCCCCGCTACTCCCACCCGACCCACACACGTTTGCCCCAAGGTCGTCGCGCCCAAGTGGTTCGATGCACAAGTGTTCGCACCCACTCCAGGCGTCCCGGTTGACAAGCCGGAATCCAAGTCCACAATCTCCGTATCGCCACCGACGATTCCCTCCTCCAGCATTGCCGAGTACGACTGATGACTAGTCCCCGCTTCCCTTTGCTGGCAGTGCCTCTCCATCCACTCCTGCGTAGATCTGCTCCCCAGAGGAAGAGTGTGGGGCAGATCATCCACCCATTCCTCTTCCGGATCCGGCGGTAGCGGTTGCTGGTGCAGCGGGAGATGACTGTACAACGTGGGGTCATATGCAGGTGGACGATGGCCCGACACCGGCCGCTCATGAATGGAGAATTCAATCGCACGTCTCTGTTGTCCGGCGGAGCTCTCCCGCATTTCCATTGTCGCGTTCGCAGCCACTTGTCGTCTCCGTCTGCCACGAGGACCCCGTACAGCAACACAGGCGCGCAACAAGACGACAAGGAGCAAGAGAAGAGTGGCCAGTAACAGGAGCGGGAGCAGTCGGAGGACGTCTGCCATGAATCGCAGCAGCTGCCGATCTGCACCGGAGAACAGCAGTCAGCCGGCGCTGCTCACACGGCAGGGTCAAAATAAATTTCAAAAAAGTCGACCGTTGGACACCACGCCCAACGACGCGCGCAAGGACAACCCCGCCACATGAACGGCGTCGTACCCAAAGAACCGCCCCCCGACCCTCGACGCGCCAACGGTAACGGCACAACGCCGTTGGGGGCCTGTCGCCTGCTGGAAGCCGATGTTGTCCGCCCGATGGACCACGGACGACCTCTGGACCACGAAGAACTCCAATTTTCGGTGTCGGCGCACACTCCACGACGATCCGTCAATTGCGGCTCCTTGAGCCCAAGGGACCTCGCGAGGACCCCTTGAATCCAAGGACGTTTTGGGTGGGGATTCTGAGGAAACCAAGGAAATCTCTCGGGAGCGTTTTCACATTCATTCAAGGAATTTGGTGAATTAGGACGCGGTGTAACGATGCCGGTTTCCTGAAAATCGGATTTCCAAGGAGGGTCTAAGGAGGCCCTAACTGGGCAGGGTGTTTGGGAGGGGAGGGAGGAGGATACCTCATCAGGCGCCGGATTTCTGCGACTATAAGGCTGGTTCCTCCTTCCCTCCTTCTTCACCCGTCCTGATTTTTATGACCCCCGCTCACTCACTCCCATACCAATCCAGCCCTACCAAGCAGTTGGAGAGGGGGGCCAAGGGGTCTGGGAAGTCTTTGCTGGGTCTCAAGGGAATAGCTGAATCGATCTTGGTCCATTCATGGAAACGAGTCTTAGTTGCACTATGGGCCAAGATACATTTTGCAATTGCACCCTACCTGGCCAGAAAGCTGGGTTGTATACATTGCCCGAACTGCAGTTTGAGACTGTATCCTGGCCCATAGCGCAAATTGTAACTGTTTTTTTTTATTCCGGCTCAGTTGCCCTTTTTTTTCTTTTTAAGTATTTGGCTTTCAGTACGGGCTTCTGAGAGCGGGTAAGGGAGTCGATGACTAGATGTTTTCGTTCAGTATTTTCAGTCGCATGTAACAAACATCTTGTATTAAATTTTGGAAGTTGTTGCACTGTAACAATGGTTCATGCGGCGGAATCATGCCTTAGCAAAGCACGATGCGTCTATGCCTTTTTTTTTAAGAATAATTATCTGGAAAAAAATGATTTCATGGGTGTATCACATGACAATGTCATTGTGTGTGTCAAGCACTTCTAGTTTTGATTAGTATAGAGGTGAAGACACCCTTTTTTTTGGGGGGGGGGCAAGTACTTTGGAGTCACACCCTTCTTTTCAGAATAGGCAACTTAAATTAGCAGTTCCCGAAATGAAGCAAAAAAGGCCACCCCCCTAAATCTGCCAAGCGCCACTGCGGGTAATGAATGCCCGGTGCAGTTTTAGACCACTGCTAAACTTGCACATTTCGAAACTCACACCAGGACATCGGCGCCACTTTGTCTTTTCTTGCCTAATTTTACTAAAAGTGTGCCACAGGCTCACAGCCACAGTTTCCCTTTCTTTTTTTCCTATCTGTTTCACCCCACTGCTCTTTTTTGAATCTGACCCCTCTGCTCATGGAACTTGTTGCACTGTTGCACTTGCTATCTTCCTGAGTCTTACATCCTGGTACCCCACTGACCTCAGTCCTCCTTCGCTGCTCCCTGCCACAAGCTTTCAACAATCTTCATCAGTCTGAGATTCTTTCTTTCGGTTTCTTTCCGCACTTCTCAACTGCCTTCCTTAACCCTTGGGCCCTTGCTTCTTTTGGGGGGTCTTGCAATTAATTTAAAAATGATTGGCCCAAAATGATGCAGATTTGATCTTTGCATGGAGTGAGGCTAAGTCACTCACCCTGTGATTCGACCATGCAGACGGTGAAGCTAACGAGGCACTCCCCCTACCCTCGTCTCCCTCACCGCGCTCACAGGCATCACTACGTCTATAAATCGCGTAGGCACCCTTACCTCTCTCTCTCTAGACTCTAGAGTCTCTACTCGCCTGGAAGATAGCAAGGTTGCGAGGATCGCCTGAGTAAGGGCAAGTCCGTGCATTGCTGGATTGAGCCGTCCTGACAAGCTGGCACCGATTGTGTGGGGTTGACCTGTCACTGACTCACTGCCTTTGCGAGCAGGTCACGGGCGAACCTTGTTTGCTGTTTTTTTTTTCGGCAAGCGCCGAGCGGGGTGACAATTGCAACACGTGGGTTGGGTTGGTGACCGTCGATCTTGTGATGATGGACTGTCAACACCCGGCTTTCGTTGAAGGGTGAACAGAGAAGTTCCGGGGAACTGTGAGAGAAGGGTAGCGCGCTTTTTTTTGGGCTTATTCATTGCCTTGTGGCCCTTGTCGATGGTATTGTGTGATTTTCTACCCTTCGTTATAATTCCTCTTCTTGATCTGCCCATCTATTCTTCTCCGTCTCTGTCCTCCTTGCCACTTAAAGTTTGCCGATTATTACGAAAAATGTCTGTTTTCTCACAGAAATTTCCTGCGAGTTGTCACCGAATCCTCTCCGCCCCTCTGTTTTTCTTCTCCCAACTCTAGTCTTACGCCTTTCCCTCATCACGAGCAAAGGCAAAGGGTCAGTGACAGGGACGCAAATTCGCGCAAGACGAGGCTTAGCCATGGTCCGGATATACTGGTATTTATTTCAAGGCAAAACAATGCCAAAACTTATTGCTCTGGCTCCGTAGGTTCAGTGATTTTTGACAGTGCTGCAGTGCAGCCTAATTTGAAATTTCCCCCTAGTATACTCTCTCTTTTGTGTTATCGTGAAGTAATTGTAATCCCTTGGCTGCTCTCACCTATTTCTGGCCTCAGACAATGTGTTCTGAGAACAAATGGCATTGTGGGGATCACCACCTGAGAGAGGGTTTTGCTTACGTGGCGACACTGGCGAGGACTCGAGGAGTGATGTGGACCACTGGGTTTCGGCACTCTCTGTAATCAAAAGACAAACTCCGTCATGTGAAAAAATCACATTCATTGGTGCAGAAGGTTTGAACAAAAAGAACAGTTACTGAAAAAGAGAGAAAAACAAAGAGGACAGCAGAAAGACTCTAGATACGACAAATCTGCAATTAACTTGATGAAAATTACATGAATAATAAAATAAAGAAACCACGGAGGCCGCGGCATATTTTGAGTTCACAAAGGCAGAAAAAACAGGCAGTCGGCGCCTGAGTTTGAAAAGGCGGTTGTAACTCAGGCTGGCAGTGGTGTCAGCACTGTCAGGGTGGCGGTTTCGTTAAGGCGGCCGTGTTTTTTTTTTTTCTTTTTTTTTTTTTGGGCATCAGTTTTTTTTTTTTTCTCTTTTCTTTTTTCGCGCGGCCGAAATGACCATGTGGCCACGGCCGCAATGTCTAGGCGACGCACGTGGCCGGGCCCCGGTCGCGATGTCTAGGCCACGCCTGCAGCTGGATCACGGTCGCTATGTCTAAGCCACGCCTGCAGCTGGACCACGGCCGCAGTGTCTAGGCCACGCCCGCGATGTCTAGGCCACACCCGCGGCTGGCCATGGCCGTGATGGGCCACAGTAAAAAAAAACAAAAAACAAAAAACAAAAAAAAAACAAAAAAAACGGCCATAGACCACGGCCGCAATGTCTAGGCCACGCCCGCGATGTCTAGGCCACACCCGCGGCTGGCCATGGCCGTGATGGGCCACAGTAAAAAAAAAACAAGAAACAAAAAACAGAAAAACAACAAAAAACAAAAAAAACGGCCATAACGAGACCGTCACCCTGAGACCACTGCCGGCCTGAGTTACAACCGCCTTTTCAAACTCAGGCCATGACAAAGTTGCCGACTGCCTGTTTTTCCTGCCCATTACAAACTCCCATGTGACATAAACGTACTTCCCTCTAAAACAAACCACACAAAAGCAAGCAAGCACTTCTGTAATGTACATAAACTAAAACAAGTAGTAAACAAATAAAAATAGGTATTCTGAGAGCACCCACCTCGGACAAAGAAATCTGCGAACTGCAAAAGAGGCAAATGGTGGAGCTCTGCGGTCCTGTGTATAATATCCAGAGCCCTTCAGTTGTGGGAAAAGGCAACACCCAACCCGAAGAAGACAATTGCAGATAGGATTTTTTTCTTCTTGTTTTTTTGCTTCTCCTTCTCCTGTTTCGATCAATGTCCTTCATAGGCTTCGCATGATTGCACCCAAATCCCTCCTTTCGGCCACTCGACTCATGAACCTGCCTTATCCTTACTTACCCTGCCGAACTTGACTTGCGGAGATCACAGCCTGAGCCTCTGACCAACGACTCCTCACGCCCAATTTTTCCCAAAATTCCTCCGTACACCCCTTCACGCAGTTTCTTTGCCCACCCTTACTCCGAACAGAAAGTTGCACCGGGCACGAGGTTGGTACGTCAAAAGGTTCCTTTCTAAAGGTTAGACCACTTGGCTTGCTTGCGGGAGCCCAGCAACTGACCCCACTGCCAGGCCTCAGAATTCGCTCTGCTCAGCCCCCTTTGAACTGTTCCCCTGCAGCTTGCGAGGAGGGGAGAAAGGGTTTATGAAAAAAAAACAAAATCCATCTCCTCAGCATCCATGTCCTCTCCCGTTGCCCTATGTTGGTTGGTTGTAATCCTGCTTGTTTGATTATCCCGGGAAGCAGGTTATTCCACAGTCTGCCATTTCGTCAAAATGGACATTTTTTATTATTAATTTGAACGAAATTGAAACCGAGTTCTTTTGGCCGAAAACTCATCCAAATTTGCTGGTCCTGAGGGTCCGGCGTTCTTAAAATGTTGGACCCCCTGGATGTATGTGGACTTATCTTGAGACCAGATACATCCAGTTAGTGACTCGTGTATCTTGGGCTCGCACGCAACTCCTCACCCCCCTTAGCATTGGTTTCAGACATCGATGCGTACTAGGGCCTAGGCCACCTTACCGTTCCTGACACCTCTGTCCTATGTGCCGGAAGCCCCAAGGCTACGATTTCTCCATCTGACTTGTATCCAACCTGCATCCCAGCCATTCTTTGTACCACTATATGATCTCCCCCCCTGATCAGATTCAAATCCACGGCACAGGTTACTATCCCCCTCGTCTTGGGGCTCACATGAAAGTTGATGCAACCTCCACCCT